ACGGTTTGAGCCTGGAGAAGTTGAGGCTACAATGAGCCATGATCGCACCGGTCCATTCAACCTGAGCAACACTGTGAGAGAGAGAAAGGAAGAAGCATGGAAAGAAAGGAAGGAAAGAGAAAAAGAAAAGAAAGTAAGGGAAAGAAAGGAGGGGAGGGGAGGGGAAAAGAGGGAAGGAAAGGGAGGGAGGGTCCTCTGCACTGAAATACAGGTCCGAATGACCCCCAGGGGCAGCAACATCACATACAATGTTGCATACTGCCTAGCACATAGTAGATGCTCATCATATAGTTTTTGAAAGAATGAATATGAATACATAGTTTCTCATTTTCAGAAGGAAAAAATTGAGAGGCCACATGAAGCTACCCAGGCCGCACAGAAGGTGGCAGAGTTTGCAATGGCAGGGGATGGGTTGAGCCAGGGGCCTAGCCCGGAAGTCCAGTACCGAATAGGCCAAGGGGCAGAAATGTAACTCCTGCTGGGCACCTGCCACGGCCCGAAGGAGGCTATGATTAGCTCCTGTATTAATTGAGGAAGTGAAAGAATAGGGAGATGAAGCAAGCAGCCCAAGTCACATACTTGATTAGTGTTGTGGAACCCGGCTTCAAAGGCAGGCCTGCGCAGCTTCTGCCATGCCCCGCTGACTTTCACTTGACATTCCTGAGATCGAGAGTGAAGGCTGGACATCCAGGAGGTCATTCTTTAGAAAAAGTAGGTGAAGGGGCTAGAATATTTGAGTGAAACTCTGCAGCTCTGTCCATGCATATGGCTCATTCTGTTATTTTCCAATCGATCTGTTTGTTTTGGCTGTAATATAAGCTGGTTGCTAAGCAACTGCTCAAAGAGCTAAGATGCTGAACTTTTTGGTAACCAAGCAGAACCCCAAAAAGGGTGATACAAGTAAGTGTTTGGGGGTACAAGCTGAGGGCTCCCAGTCAGCCTGCTCTGGTACTCTGGCGTTTGGGAGTAACCTGGCCCCTTTGACAGAGTGAGCAGGCTGTCATGGAGGGAATGCCACCTTCCTCCCCAACTAACGATAACATTTAACCTCTCGGGGGCTTCAGTTTGGTCACCTGTAATGATACTAACCTTAAAGAGCAGCGTGAAGGACAGAGGTAGTGACAGTGCAGCTGGCTGGGTTTCTGGCACATGGTAAGGGCTCGATAACTTTATTTTATGAGACAGAGTCTCACTCTGTCATCAGTCTGGAGTGCAGTGGAGTGACCTCAGCTCACTGCAACCTCCGCCTTCCTTTCAAGTGATTCTCCTGCCTCAGCCTCCCAAGTAGTTACAATTACAGGCACATGCCACCATGCCCAGCTAATTTTTGTATTTTTAGTAGAGACGGGGTTTCACCATGTTGGCCAGGATGGTCTCAATCTCTTGACCTTGTGATCCACCCGCCTCGGCCTCCCAAAGTGCTGGGATTACAGGCATGAGCCACTGCGCCCAGTCAGAGCTCAATAACTTATAGCTGTCATCATTTTTAATAATTAAACATTTTGTATTTTTTTTTTTTTTGAGACGGAGTTTCGCTCTTATTACCCAGGCTGGAGTGCAATGGCGTGATCTCGGCTCACCACAACCTCCGTCTCTTGGGTTCAAGCAATTCTCCCGCCTCAGCCTCCCGAGTAGGTGGGATTACAGGCACATGCCACCATGCCCAGCTAAGTTTTTGTATTTTTAGTAGAGACGGGGTTTCACCATGCTGACCAGGATAGTCTCGATCTCTTGACCTCGTGATCCACCCGCCTCGGCCTCCCAAAGTGCTGGGATTACAGGCTTGAGCCACTGCGCCTGGCCAAAAATTTGTATTTTTGAGACAGGGTGTTGCTCTGCTGTTCAGGATGGAGTGCAGTGACACAATCATGGTTCACTCCAATTTCAACAGCCTGGGCTCAGGCAATCCTCCCATCTCAGCCTCTTGAGAAGCTGAAACCACAGGTGCATTCCACAATGCCCAGCAATTTTTTACATTTTTTTTTTGTAGTGATGAGGTCTCACTATGTTGCTCAGCCTGGTCTTGAATTTTTGGGCTCAAGCAATTCTCCTGCCTCAGCCTCTCAAAATGCTGGGTTACATGTGTAAGTCGCTGCACTTGGCCATTATTAATATCCTGACAAAGCTTAAGGACAGCATTTTGTGGGAGATCAGTGCTGAGGAAGGGCCTGGGGGCTTTGTTGGAGTCCTCAGCTGCCACAGCAAACGGGACCCTTAACCTCATCTCACACCAGTGATGCTACGCGGTGCACAAGGGGCATCTGCTGATAATGCCTGGGTCAGAAAGGAATCCGGCTACTCACCAGAACAAATGTCCCTGAAGTCAAGGGCACGTTGATACGATGACTTCATAGGAAAAGAACAGCACATGCTTTTTTGGGTCTTCCGAGAGAATCACGTTCCTCATTGCTTCTGATAAACACTCTGGTGTCTAGGAATTGCCTAGGTCAGAGGTTACACTCTGGTGGTTTGGGGTGGGAATGCGAGGGGTCAAGGCAGCCTGAAGATGTATTTGGTCAGCCTCAACAGCATTTGAAACCATTATTTTTGCTCTAAATCATCATCCAAAACAATTTTTTAAAAATTAGTTGCCAACATTTAAAAAAAAGTTTTATATGAAAATGCAGATTCCCCACTCCCTGAAAGACAGGAATACCTAGTAACCTTCCCTGCCTCCTAAAGCTGTAACTGCTCAAACTGTGTGGAGAGACGCCTCGCTCCCTGAGACCAGGGCTCTGATCGCTATTGAATTGTACTCAGCATTCTCGGGAAAAGTCTGGTAATAAAGTTTTAAAAGCAATTTGCAGTATTTCAAAACCCCTGAGGGGAACCACATACCTTCTTGTGACAAGGTGGCTAAGGCCAACCACCACCTCAGTGATTCTGCATTAAGGCAATGCTAAGCAGCGGGCACACCAGTTACCACACATCAAGGAGGGTCTGCATTAGCAGTGACTGATGTCTTTGATCAATAAAACATAGGGAGACAAAAAACCCAGCCTGTTCATAGCTGGTTTTTAAAACATGATGCCCGTGAGGTCAAATAATGAAACAGTCCTTGAACAGGGAGGGTACAGGCCACAGACTCATATGGGGCCAGGTCACTTTCGACTGGCAGGAGTGAAGGGACGGTCCCAGAGGGGTGGAGGATGGGCAGGGGTCCAACGTTGAAGCCTGTTTTCTTGGTCTGGGGTGGCACTCACTCCCATCATCTATCTGTCCCCTTGGGAGCCTGGCATCCTGCAAGCTGCCCAATTTTCAGAAATCTATAGGCATCAGCGGATGCAAGCCCTGTCTGGCCACATGGGGGCACCCTGGCTCCACACGCTGGATTCTGAGATCCAGCAGGGGCTGGCACAGGCACTGGGGCTAGAGGGAGCGCTCCACTTCTGCAACCTGGTGGGTCAGGGGTTGAGGCTCGTGGTGCTGGGTACCACAGCACCTCCCATCCCCAATTTAGTGTCATGCTGCCGTGAAGGTTGCTCACCGTACTGATTTTAACAGAGTCTAGTAGGGACTCCTCCAGCCCCGGGGGAGGGATTAACACTATGAAACCTGGAGATGCCTCTGGAAGGACATGAACTCAGAAGCTGGAGCGAGAACACAAGCTGCCTAACCTTGCTCCACAGGAAGAAGGGCAACGGAGGGTGTGCATACTAAACCTATGCTCTGGCTTCCCTGCAAAAGGTTTAAAGACACCTGGAAGGTTTTTTTAAGAGAGCAAGAGACAGAGACAGACAGAGAAAGATACTAAGAGACAGAGAGACAGAGTTAAATGGAGGGAGGGACGGAGAAAGGACAAGAGAAGAGAGAAAGAAATCAGACCCTGCCTTATTTGGAACAAATAGAAACCGCTGAGCTCCCAATAATGTGAAGCAGCATGACCAACAAACTTGAGGCTACAGATGATGGTTCACACCCTGGTGTGAGCTCTCTGGACTTGAGCTGTTATTTTGCTTCTCTGAGCCCCACTCTTCCTCCCTGTAGAATGCAGGTAGCCATGCCGGCCTCTGGGTTCGATGCACAGAACCAATGGGATGATATATGCAAACCACCTCTCATGATACCTGGATCTAGACAGACTTGGTGTAAACATCACTCATGCTGACCAATGACAGTAAATAAAGGATTTTTAAAAAATATCATTGGACCATGATACTGTATATGACTTTAGTTTTCTCATACATGGGACCTTTGGGCCATGTGACTTCTGTAGCTCTAATCAGTCCAAATTGTGTACTATTCTATAATAAATGCACTCTTCACACAGCCATCTAAGCCTTCCATTGGCCGAGAGCTTTCTCCAGATGCTGATACCCTGTCCCACGATGTGGGGCGTGCTGGAAAGGGACGCTGGAAATTCACAGAAGCAGTCGTGATGGTGCTTAGGCACCTGGCTCTGCAGTCAGACTGGCTGCTTCAACCCAGCTTCCCTTTACTAAGTGAGTAACCCTGGGCCAATGGCTTCTGGTCTCGTTCCCACAGTTCTCCATTTGGAAAAGGAAGATGATAACACTAGCCATGGCAGAGACTCTGGGGGAGGAAATGAGATCCTACCAGTCAAGCCCTCAGAACAGTGCGGGGCACATGGCAAGCACTTCCATAAGGGCTAGGCATCATCATCACTTAGACGGTTTAAAAGACTGGGCAATAATCTTTCTTGGGTTATATGAAGGTTGTCTGATCCACAACTGGAAGGAGGAGGGCATGTTTTCATAGATGCTACAGAAAGAGCAACAGGCTGGCAGACAACAAGAGATGTTCCCTGGACGAAGCTCTGCCACCAGCACTTCCTTCTGCAAACTCAGTTTCCAGTCTGTTCACTGAAAACTCTATTGCTGGGTGGCTGTGGGCAGGTCCCTTCTCCTCTGTGTCTCCACTGCCCCATCTAGAAAAGAAAACTGTTGGACTAGATGATGACCCTAAGGGCCTTCTGGTCCTGGCACTGCATGGCCCTGTGTGCCTTCCAGCCTGATGACCAGGCCCCTGCTGGTCCTTACCTGAGGTACTCATAGAGCCCGTACATGGGCAGGAAGTCAATGTCAGACAGGAACATGTAGGGAGTGCTGATGTGCTTCATGGCCACGTTGCGCAGCAGGTTGACGGGGTAGAACTGGCCCTCCTTGTACACAATGTGGTAGCCCACGTTGTGGCGGCTCATAAGTACCTCGGACCCCTGTGCGTAGCGGAGGAACTGCTGGGCTTCGGCATCTGACAGGTAGAGGGCCAGGCTGATGGGCCCCTCCCAGTGCTTGCAGATGGCCTCCAGCATCTGGAGCCTGGAAGAGACAGGGAGGGTGAGCTGGGGAACCTGGACCGTCCATGTATCATCAGCCCGGCCTGCTGTGGGGCTCTGCCTCCAGTGATACTTATCAACTAACTGTGGATCAAATCCCTGCTTTCAACATGACTCACTCAGTTCCTTTACCTATAAAACAGGCATCAAAACATTCACCTTGCTGGTTATTGTCGTTCCCTGCTTCCAACTGAACATGTGATATAAAGTCATAACACACTATAAGCCTCAGACTCCTCGTTTCGAAGTCGGGTGGTGAGTATATTAAATGATCTGAAGATACCCCTCCAGCCCTGAAGTCTTACACTTCTCTCTCTGCAAAGGTGTGTAACGGCTCTGCTGATCTCAGGCAGTGACCAGCCAGAGAGGACTTAGACAAACCGAGGCCACTGAGTTACAAGGAACAGTCAAATAGTAAACACGAATAGGGAACAACTATATTCACAGCTGTGTCGCAGTGTGCCAGGAGCTTTCCAGAATTCTCTCCATAACCCTGAGCACTAGCTTTCATTCTCCCCATTTTTCTGATGGAGGAATGGAGGCACCAGATGTTTAGTCGGCTTTGCCACTTGCACTTATAGGGCAGACATGTGTAGACAGTACCCTGATGAGACAGACCCCGGCCTCAGTGAAAAGAATAACAGTAAAAAAGGGAATAGAAAAACATGTGAATGCTGGAAACCAAGTCTACCTGGGGTGATGCTGTCTTCAACACTCGTATTCACAGCCCTTACTGCCCCAGGGCTCCAGCCAACTTTGCAAGGCTACCTCAGCGATGCAGAGCCAGGGAGAGATGGGGAAAACAGAGCCCAGTGAAAAAATAAAAAAGAAAAAAAACAAAACAAAAGGGGCTTGCAACAGAGAGGGTTCTGTGAAAACGTCTGAACGTAGATCTATAAAGGTATTTTCTTTCAAAGGCATTAGAAGTGCCTGGTACATAAAATCTGTGGCTAAGAAACAGCAAAAGCCTACTTGAATTGTTTTTTCTTACCCAGCAAGAGGTACATAATCAGCAGTCTCCTGGTCAGAATGCCCACTTTATTCGGACGATTACCAGGAAATCGATTCCATGCATTTCCATGCTTCTAAACTAAAGGAAATGGGCACAACTATCTTGTTTCAATGGCCTTCTTGATGACTTCCAGAGTTTCCTCTCAGTAATTCTGTGAATCGGTACTGCCCAGATTTGTTTCCTCTTTCAATACGGAGGACTGAGATACTCACCAGTGCAAAATGCTCTCCATTTCTCATGCATTATAAAGCCTGCTAAACAAATTGACTAGAGCCATTTCTTAAAAAGGCACTGCATTCTTCACGCAGCCTAATTGCGCTGAACTTTGTGTTAGCCTTCTGCTGTAGGGGCCTGCCCTCTCCTGGGCTCTGAGGATCTGGAATTTTGAATTATACCTCCTGCACCTGTTTCACCTTCTGCAAAAGTGGGGGACTCTGCACTTCAAGAGAGAGCCATTTGTACAAATCCTCTGAGGACTGGAGAGCAAAAGAATCATTTCCAGCATGTAGACATGAGAGCTGCAGAAAGAAGTGGGCAGCAGGAGGGAGGTTTGGCTGGGCACGAAGAGCAGACCACTTCCTGGGATTCTCCCACTGGCTTGGTTTTTGCCTCTGTTGTCTCAGTTTTCCAAGCAAGGAACCCCTGCCCTGCCCCAGGCCCTGCCGTGGTCCCTCTCATAAGTTCAGCCAAGTTTAGAGTAAGAACAGAGAGGCCGGGTGTGGTGGCTCATGCCTGTAATCTTAGCACTTCAGGATGCCAAGGCAGGTGGATCACTTGAGGTCAGAAGTTCAAGACCAGCCTGACCAACATGGTGAAACTCTGTCTCTACGAAAAATACAAAATAAATAACCAGGCATGGTAGCACACGCCTGTAGTCCCAGCTACTTGAGAGGCTGAGGCAGGAGATAGGAGACTGAGGCAGGAGAATTCCTTGAACCTGGGAGACGGAGATTGCAGTGAGCCAAGATCGTGCCATTGCACTCCAGCCTGGCTGACAGAGCAAGACTGTGTCTCAAAAGAAACACAAACAGCAACAACAAAAAAAACCAGAAAAATACTCGAGGTTCTCAACAGTGCTGTACATGTAGAGATAATGCAGCCAAACACAAGCGAGATGGAATGGTGACAACCCACTGCTGCTTCTACCCCAGCCCCAATCCCTCCAGTCTTTACTCCCTTAGAACCAACCTTTCTGCCCTGAATGGTCACGTCTCATCCATCTCCCCTTTCACCTGCTACTTGCCAGGTCTTCGCCACACTGCGGCTATCACATTTAATCCTCGCAGTAACTGTAAAATGGAGATTCTCATCACCATTTTACAGGCAAGGAAGCTTGAGGGGGTGAAATAACTTCTTTCAAGTCATGCAGTTACGAAGCAAAGGACACAGATTCACATTCAGGTCTACCTAACCCCAAGGCCCAGACCCAGATCATTATTTAATATGGATTGGGGTCAGGCTGAGAACCAAGTTCCCAAATACCTTCGCTTCACTGACTGTTTCCCCAAATAAGAGTGTGTTCTTCTCCCGGTGTCAGTGCCTCCCCACTCCTGCCCCTCCTCAGTTCCTCCTGGTATCTGTCTCGAAGCTCCACAATCCCCTTGTCCCTTCTCATGCTTCTCTCCCCTCGTCTGTTCCCTAAGGGCGTTCCTGTGCAGTTCTTGCTGACGCCAGGCTCTATGCCCACGCTTTCTTTAGCTGGATGAGTCCATGGAAGAGCTGACCCTAAATCCAGAAGGCCTCTGTGTCCCATGCTGGTTCCCACTTCCCCATGGAGACCACCATTGCTTCATCTAGGAAGGGGTGGGCAAAGGCTCAGAAATTTCTGGCAGATCTAAAAAACAGGCCGGGGCTACTCCAGAGAATCCCACTGAGGCTGGAAGCCTCAAGCAGTCTGTGTAGTCATAAAGGAGCAGGTAGGGAGACGGCCAAGTCAGAAACCCAGAAGAAATTCTAGAGCATTTCTAGAAGGAATTCTAGAGCATCAGAAAACCAAGCAGCCCAGGTAGTGACCACTCAGCTGGGTAACTCACACCCACCAGGGCGGCCCATTCTAATCCGGTGCACTGTCCGTGAGGCAGGCTGCGTAGCCTGTCGCAGGCATGCCACTGTAGGTTTTGGGGTCAGACAGGCCTGGATTTGTCCTCTGAACTGTGTCAGTATTCCTGGGCAAGTGACAGTTCTTTGAGATTCAATGTCCACATGTATTTTGGGGATAATAATGCCTTTGTTAGAAAACAAAATAGCTACAAATCGTCCCTCTCTGCCTATCCATAACCTCCGGAAAGAATCTCCCACTTGAATTCTGGCCACATGACCAGAGCAGAGCTGCGATAAGGGGCTTGTGCCTACTGCCATGTGAACCAGCCTATGCCACCTTGCCTGGGGTTCCAATTGTGCCTGACAGGCAGACAACCCCCCAAAAAGCTACCTAGCTTATTGTAGTCACACAAATGAGCCCAGCAGAGTCTCCCCACACTGCCAATCCAAAGATCCGCAGGCTCATTACCGTGCTTGTAGTCAGCTGCTAAGACTCAGGGCAGTTTGTGAAGTAGTAACATCTGGCTGAATTTGGGGATTAAATGAGATAATGATACAAAGTGTCTGGTGCAAAGCTGGGTATACAGCAGGTACTCAGTACATGATAGCTGGAAGTTTCTACTTAGGTTCAATTTTCCTGCTCAAACATGCCTTCACCTAATATTTGTTATGTCCAATGCATCAGGAATACTATACAGACAAGGGGCCTGGGTGCCTGCATTTCATTCTAGTGGGGAAGCTTTTATTCTAGTGGGGAAAAAAGACAATCAAGAAACCCGAGGTTTGACTAGGGAGATGATTAGGTCATGAATCTGGAACTCTCAGGAATGAGATTCGTGCCCCCCCGCCCTTCTTTTTTCTCAGACAGTCTCATCCTGTTGTCCAGGCTGGAGTACACTGGTGCAGTCTCAGCTCACTGCAACCACCACCTTCCAGGTTCAATTGATTTTCCTGTCTCAGCCTTCTGAGTAGCTGGGATTACAGGCATGTCTCACCATGCCTGGCTAACTTTTGTATTTTTAGTAGAGACGGGGTTTCACCATGTTGGCCAGGCTGGTCTTGAACTCCTGACCTTAGGTGATCCACCTGCCTTGGCATCCCAAAGCGCTGGGATTATAGGCGTGAGCCACCGCACCCAGCCTCTGTGCCCTTTTAAGAGGCCCAGGGAGCTAGCTGGCTCTGTCTACCATGTGAGGACTTGGTAATGAGGCACTAGCTGTGAGCCAGGAAGTGCATCTTCCATTGTTTATATATCAAATAATTATGGCATTTTGTTACAGCAGATAATGAGAAGTATGTGAAAGTCTCAGGGGGAAGCTTTTCAAGAAGAGGGGATAGCCCTTGGGGTAAAAATGAGCTCAACATGTTCAAGCAGGAAGAAACAGGCAAAGTGTGGGTGCAGCACAGGAGGGTGAGGGGCAGAAGGTGAGATTAAAGTGTCAGGGGGGTGTGCAGATGCCAGGTTGATGGGCCTCGGAGACCACAGCAGGCAGGTGAGATGCTGATTCACATGTAACAAGAAGTCATCGGAGGGTTTTAATGATGTGACCTGACTTACATTTTTAAAACATTGCTCTAGCTGTTACATGGAGAAAAAGTTACCTTTCAGTCTCTGAACAGTCAGTGTTTTGAAACGTCAGCTTGTTTAAGATCACCTGGGGGGCTCATTAAAACCCCGATTTCCAGGCCCCACCCTAGAGATTCTGGTTCAGGAGGTCTGAGAAGCTCCCATGCAATGCTGTGTTGCTGGTCCCCGGAGCAGGCTTGAAGCAAGGCTGTTGTAAGGAGTGGGGCCCTGTGAGCCCACCCCATGCTCTCCTTTACTCACAGAGGGCAGAGAAGAGACCCATCATCCCCATGGGGCCCTGTAACTGTAGTCAGCACTTAACATCTTTGTCAAAGGCACACTAAAGAACCAGGCTCCCTGGCCG